GGTTTTCAGTGAGACTAACAAAAGTACTAGACTGATGTCGGAATCCACCTCGTAAACATTCCCACGAGTGGCAGGGCAGAAAATTGACAGAATTGCCGAGTATACGTGACCTTTTTCCAAGGAAAATTCTAAAAGTATAAAAGTATTGCATCCTTTATTGTAGGTGTATCACAGTGGCGTGTTCAATTGGGTGATTGTAACCAGCTTTGACGTGTTAATGTTCATCATTATTACTGTCATATCAATTTACTTCGGCGTCGGATATGATATCTCCTTAGCTCTTATAGGACCCTCTGCACCGAGTCATGACGTCCAGTTTAGTCGCATATGCCAAGAGATCCATATTTCAAGGAACGGATTGCCTGACAGGGTGAGCGACAGGTGATCGTCAAAGTATAAGTGGTGAGGCAAGCAATCAGCAGTATATTCCATGAAGAAACAGGGTATGACTTTTACCGGGGGTAAAGAATGCAAAAAACGATTTTAGTACAATTAACGTGTATGTTCCTATACCGGCCAACATTGATCTTGTTGACGTTGCCGCTTGTACAGGGACGGGGCTGTGTATACCGCAGTGCAGCTACATTCGAAGTTTACTTTTTGATCATCTAGTTCGTCACTAAGAGAGGAACCTCATTCAGTCAAGTGTCTATGACGAAATAATGATTCCTTTCATATATGAAAGCGCCTATTAATTGCCACTAGTTATATAAATCTCGTATGAAGGGTGAGCTATATATATTGATAAGCATACCACGTGTAGGTGTTGAGGAGAGATGACTCGGCAAGACATGATTGGCCTCACCCGAGAACCTACCACCTGGTAAATACTCCGTACGGAGTAGTCAGGTCTCAATTCTACAACCTGCACATAAATCAAAGCAGTAAGAGAAAAGATACAATAGTCAAAACAAGAAAAGGTACATAAATTACATAAAGTACGTAGATTACATAGATTACATTAAAACCATAAATTACATTAAACATCGGCTCCGAGGCTCGGCCGGCGGAACCGTGGACAAGGCCCAGCCCACTGGTTCCCGCGACATCCACTTTTAACTTCAACGGTTTCACACGTTACTGAAATCTACTCGTCGGAGCCGGCCGTTAAAGATTTTGGGGGGTTAACTCGGGTTGATTTCACCGAAAAGTAGTGCAAGCGAATAACTAGGCGGAAGCTAGACCATTTTCGATTTAGGGTCTGTTCAAGACCTGACATCACAGGTCAATTTCGGTTCCGTACGCAGGTGTAATCATCTGTTCCGGATCACCTTCGTACCCCTGTTTTTTTTTTTTTTTCGGGGCACGCTCTGGGTTTATATAAATGCCCCGCGGCCGAAACCCATATGCTGTTCCATAAGATCTTCGGTTCTGATTTATTTATTTATAAATCTTCCCTTCGCCACCCTTTCCTCATAGTAATTCTCCCAACTTACTATCTATCCAACATCCTGCCACTGCCTTCGAGGCCAACGTATGATCCAAGATGTGTATCATGGCTTGCAACCGATCCAATGAGATCCCCAATCTCTCTATAGACCAGGGGACCTACCTCAGCCAACACCTGAGTCCCCAGTCCCGACCAGCCGACTTCTTCGAAAGGCCCGACCCTCTTGCTGCCAACTGGAGCTATGACAACGCCATTGACCTCTTCTCCATCAACCCCACCGACATGGAGCCCGTCTCATTCGACTTCGCCGACAGTCTCACGAACCTCGAGTCTAAGGATCTCTTCAATGACCCGTTCGCTAGCTCTGGGATCAGTGGATTCAGCATGCCCGAGGATGCAGCTTCACTATCATCGGTACGACCCTCCACCTATCAATAATGTATCTTGACACAAAAGCTAATATCCCCAAAGGAATTCGAAAGTGACGATCAAACATGGCCATCTGCTCCTGCCCGGCAATCCGTCGACTCATACGCGTTCGAGACCCAGTCGACAAACCAATCTGTAAACTACACCTCTTCTCAACCTCAAACACAGAGCAAGACCCGCCCATCTTCGACGAGATGGTCATCGAGTCCAGAGATGAAGGAAGAAGAGATTACTACCCCTCAACCCTCCAAACCCACATCCTCCACATCCCGCAAGACCCGCAGTTTCTCCCGAGACTCAAACCACTCCTCAACGGGCGGCCAAGACCCTCAAATGCGGAATGCTGCCAAGCGTGCCGCCCATAACATCATCGAGAAGCGCTACCGCACCAACATGAACGCCAAATTTGTTTCCCTCGAACAGGCTATCTCGCCCTCGGGTGTTCAAAAACATGCCAAGGTCGGCGCGGGGTCTCTCAAAAAGTCCGAGATTCTGACTAATGCCCTTACCTACATCGATGGCATTCAGCAGGAGAACCAGGCCCTGCACAAGGAGCTCACACTGCTCAAGCAAAACTTGCTACCGGGCGGAATCTGGCGACACAGCAAGAATCCTCGACTATGATCAGGTGCATGCCGATCATGCCACAGTGATTCTGCCGCTTCAAGTATCTTTCTTGTCCTCATGACCACGACCAGCGTTGTATTCTTAGAGTAGCCGGACAACGTGGTCCCGGTCGGCGTTGGTCTTTTTTGCTTTGCTTTTCGTTTATTTTTACCTTTTTTTCCGGATTGGTGAAGGCGTTCGGATAAAGTGTTATTTGGGCTCGGATGGGCCCTCTCTCATCTCAGATATGATTTGATTTTCCGGTCCTGGCGACCACAAAAGTGTTTTGTGACTTGTGACCCCCATATATGAACGGGAATACCTCATAAATAGTATCCTAAAACATTAATATAATTGCCAAGACTCGGTTGATTCCTTTTGCTCAAACATTCTCGTTTCTTAATTGTGTGCGGTATGGTCTGATGGTTCCCAATGTGGAAATAGTTGCGGTTTGGTGGGCCCATCCTGGTATATATATATATATACCTGCAATGCAATCCGTAAGTGTTGCTCCTTTATTTGTGATCTTTCTGCTGGACTGACTGGTCATTCTCGGTTATCAGGATAAATTCCTCCAAACTCAATGCTGAATGCGTTCCGTATCGTGATCTTGGTTCGGCTTTCATATCACCTTCGACACGGCCTTGACCGGGTGAAAGCAGCACCTTGGATGGTAGTCAACCCTCTTCAACTTCTGGATTTATAGTCAACGGGCATGATCAGTCGACAAAGCAACTTGAAAAAAGCTAGTAGCTCCTCGAGAGACGCACTAGGCTCCCAGCCCTTGATCAGGAGGAGCGGATGGAATAAGCGAGATTAGCATCGAGGATTGCCCATGATTCCGAGTAGGAATTATCGAGGGAGACGGCCGACGTTGCCTTTTTGGTTGGTCAAAGAGCTGCCTGCGCTGATCACAGCAGATAGGCAGGGACGAGAATGATTCCAGAAGCCACCCCCCATCCGACCATGTGGCCCTATCAGGAGTGTGTCCAGGTCCAATGCTCTCTGTTGGGATTAGCCTGCTGTGCCGTGACTGAATATTGCTCTCTCGCCTTACAGCTTCCAGCAGACGACCATACACTTCCGATGAACTAATTTTGGGGATATGCAGCCGATAGCGAGCTTGCCAGCCTGTTACGGACACACCATGGCGATAATAAAATTGAACCATTCCGGGGTTCACGGAGCTGTTTATCAACCGTGCGTCCTACGTTCTGTCCTTCATTGGCCTATATCGCCGTGCCTCGGTGCTTGCATCTCCTTATCCTTCCTTTTGTGGGGTTGAGCTGGGCGAGATTTGGCTTTGCGGTCAATTGGACGGCGAGGACCCGACGGCGGTGCCCAACTGAGGAGATTCGCCAACCTCAGCCAGAGTTCGTGGTTCTCATTACGAATCAATAACTGAAGAAGTGGACCTTGATGGTGCTGTTCCCGGGACGAAGCTCAAAGCTGCAGCTTCAGTGGTGTAAAGTGCAATCCGAACCCATCGTGTCGGGTTTCCCTTTTCGATAGGAATGCTGTTATGGATCGGACTTGGACCTCCCACCTGACCCCAGCTGCTGATCATCTACTAATGACTCAAACAGTTCTCTCGAGTCTACATTCATATCAAAACTTTCAAGGTTGGAATGGCTTCCGATGAATACGCCATGGGTATTGCGCATATGTGGAATTGACTTCAACTAGATACTGTTTAATATCTCATATGAATTGCAGATATGCCGCTCTACTGTTACTATTAGGCTGTCTATTTACACACCAAAGCATGCTTGATCTCGGAATTGAGCCGCGCTCTAAACCTCTAATCGTGGATTCTTATCGGCCACGCATGGACTTGCCGTTTTGGGTCAGCCGTCGCCACTGGTTATTGCACCGTGATATTGATACGCATTGCCATTGATCTCTATATCGGGAAGATAATTAGAAGGTCATCCTTGTCAATCTATTGCTGATATTGGCATTTTTATGGGACTTCGAAGGATATCCTTGAAGAAGGGAGACTGTTGATTTACACTGGTCGGACCTTGTCAAAGAGCTATGACACATATGTGACAATTTATGGTATGTACATGCGAACAAGCTGCAGAATATATACGATATTTACCTTAAACAACCTGAATTCAATGTCAATTGTACCCCAGTTCTTATCTGTGGAGTGCATTTGTGGATACATCTATAAAGGCTATGACGGCCCACTGGAGGGAGGTCCTCCCGAAGGTGGCTCCCCGCAAAAACCTCCTCCCAAAAAAAAAAAAAATTCAGATTTCTATTATCAACATCTCTCCAGTCCATGACCAATCCTTCTGATTCAACCAAAACCTAGTATCAGGCCCACCTCGTCATTGGCTACTCTCAATTGGTCTCCAGCTTTATCTAAGTATTTTCCCTGAATAGGGTTAATCCGTGAGGGGTGTGAACGCGGACCGAGAACGCCAGACGCCAGATCTAAGCTATATAGAAATCATCGTTTCTCCCTTCTATGCTTCTCGTTAATCTTCAGTCAGAAAATGGGCGCATTTCCCTCCTGTCTGTCCCCTGAGTTGATATACATTGCCTCCGGCTGAATTACCACGGCATGGATTTGGAGTCCAATTCGCTACCCCTCAAGCCACCGCTGACGGATCAGAATGTGCAAGATGTGCAAGATGCGCAGGATCTCGCTGCCCTGGGCCACTCCCAGGCCCTGACGCGAAAATTCGATATTTGGAGTATGCTGGCGCTTGCCTTTTGTGTACTTGGTATGTTTGCGCCGTTTGCCACCTGACGAAACCCGAAAGTATGCTGACATGACCAAGGAACCTACTCGACCTTCGCTCAGGATCTCAGCAGTGGTCTGACCAATGGTGGTGCCATCACTATCCTCTGGGGTCTGGTGCTGGTCACAGCATGCAACCTCTGTGTTGCGCTCTCGCTGGGCGAGTTGACTAGCAGCATGCCCACCGCCCTTGGTCAGGCATACTGGGTATATCGACTGTGGAATACACCACTAGGTCGATTTGTTTCATACATGTGTGCATGGATCAATACATTTGGATGGTGGACCTTGACTGCATCACAGGTTGCCTTCATGACTGAATTCCTGCTAGGCATGAAGACTATGTTTGATCCCGAGTGGGATGGAGTCAACAAGGGCTGGCTCAATTTTGTTGTGTATATCGGGGTGGTCTTCGTTCTGACCCTGGTCAACGTCGTCAGTTGCCGCAAGGAGAAGATCCTACCCTGGCTTAACAACTTTGTTGGAGTGTGGTTCTTCGGCCTGTTTATTGTTCTCTCTCTTGTGCTTCTTATCTCGGTCGGAACCAAGAGTAATCTGTCGTTCCAGCCCGCTTCATTCGTATTTGGCGCTTGGAAGAATGAGACTGGCTGGGGCGACGGTGTGGTTTGGTTCACCGGGTTGGTACAAGCAGCGTATGGTTTGACCGCGTTCGATTCGGTCATTCATATGGTAGAGGAAATCCCTGCCCCTCGGAAGAATGCTCCCCGAGTTATCTGGATGGCCGTTTTGTTCGGTGCCGTGACTGGATTCATTTTCATGGTGGTCTGTCTGTTTTGCATCCAGAATGTGGACCGTGTCGTCAACGCCGACCTCCCCTTCATGGAGCTTATGATTGAGACTGTTGGAGTGAAAGGGGCCGCAGTACTGATTGCACTGTTCATTTTCAACGGTGTAGGCCAGGGAATCAGTATCCTTACTACTGCCTCCCGTTTGACCTGGGGCTTTGCCCGTGACGGTGGTGTGCCTTTCAGCAAGTACTTCAGTCACGTCGACCCTGTGTGGCAGGTCCCTGCCCGCGCTCTCTGGGGTCAGGGCGTCGTCATCGGTATCGTTGGTATCCTTTACCTATTCGCCAACACCGTGCTCGAGGCGATTCTCAGCGTCAGCACCATCGCCCTGACTGTCTCGTACGCCATGCCCATTCTCGCCTTGCTCGTCACCGGCCGTGAGAAATTGCCCCCGGGTCCATTCAAGCTCGGTCGCATTGGTCCGTGGTTGAACTGGGTCAGCATCGTCTACTGTATCATCACTACCATTTTCTTCCTGTTCCCTGGGGGCCCTAACCCAGCGCCCAGCGATATGAACTTCGCTATTGCCGTCTTTGGCGTTATGTTGGTCATCGCTGTTGCATTCTGGTTCATTCAAGGCAACAGAACATATCTCCAAACTGAAGATGCCATCGCTTCGATGGTCTACGCCCACCATCTGGAAATGAATCAGCTCGGTGTTGATGACCCGGTTCCGGCTGTTCAAGCTCCGGTCATCGTTGATAAATAAGCGATATTTTGGGATTTCCTCTTTTGTTTATAAAGCCCTATCGCTTTTATGCGGGTGTGTGTAAAACAAAGATGTACATACCTAGGTAGTATATACACATATGTACTAATGCATAACCATAACCTGGTGGGATTTTGTATTGATCTGGACCCAGGTTGACGTGCTTCCTCATAGAAACGTTATCATTATTGAAACCATTGGCTCTACCAGATACTCCGAGGAGATTCTAGATATCATCTATCTTCTTTTGGTTGTTTTATTTCTTTTAAAAAAAATAGGAAGATGTAAATCCGGCAGAGTCACGGGATAGTACCTAGGACGGAGTACCGGCGGAACATGATCCAGATTGTTCCCAAGGTCGCAACCCGGGAGAACCTGCCAAGAAGCCAAGAGGTCAACATTTTAATATAACCCGGACTACACACAAAATCGCGGGACAACTGCTAACGGGAGCTATCATTTCGACCTGAATAGGTGTCACAAACGGAAGCGTACCGAGGACTCCGTACATCTTGTCACCTGCGCACTTCGCATTCTTGCCCAGCCCTTTTTCTTTTTACACAAGGTTGAGAGGTTGAGAGGTTGAGATATCACAATAATGAAGGAAGATCAAGATCACTAGCCACATCCGTCTCCCGTGCCTATGTAACTTATGACTCTGGCACACTGAAATATTGTATTGTCCCCAGCCTCCGGCGCACTCCGACGCACTCCGATGCATATCGATGCATACCAATGCAATCAGAACCGATAGTCATTCGGGTTGCAATAGTGCCGCAGTTTATTTCAGCGCCACAGAAGCCTAGCGCTCATCCTTGCAAGACTGTCTTAACTTTCTATGAGATAGCCTAATTGGCTGTCCGCTAGTTGCAACAGTGTATGGCCACCTTCCCAACTTTTTCCCCGAGAGGATTGGCAGGGGAAGAATTGATATTGATCATTGAACCACTCAGCTAATTTCCATCGATCAGATCTGATCGCAGATGAACTGTGGGCTTCATATAAATCAGAAATGGAGCTGATCTCATTTTATGTTGTAGGGCCAAGTCATCCAGCCACCCGCAATACAAGCCCCCTGACGCCCCTCACATTGTTTCCTTCGAACCAAGTGGGCCCAGCCCCTGCCGATCATAAACGGACCCCCGACGGACGCGCCCAATATCACAATGGGATAGAGAGTTTATCTCCATACCGGTCACATCACTAACAATTCGCTGTTCCTCGGCTTGGGAAAAAAAAGGTCGTTAGTCGCGACGCGGGTATGGGGCTATGCAGTCGGATTCCGAACACGCCATCCCAGCCGTTGCCATTATTATTATTGATTTAGAACAGTCTCACTAAACGAACATCCACCAAGGGTCCACTGGAACAGTGGAAATTCTAGCGATGCCAAGGGAATGACGTGAAACTTCAATTAAAGCACCCCGTCCATGTCAACATTGTCTCGTTCTAGTTAATCCTGGACTTCTTCAATACACATTCTTTGTCGCCCTATCATTCCCCCCACCAATGCAACCATAATAAATACCAATTATTCACGATATTTACCCCTCCTTTATATTTGGTAGCCTGCTGTCGAACTATTTATACTTCCTGTATTCGCTGTGCGGAGGTCCCGATCAGTGTCTGACAAGGTGTCTTCATATCACTCGTTTCTATCATGATTGCATCTCTATTTAACCGTGGAGCATTGTCGCTCGCGGTCTTGTCGCTTCTTGCATCCTCTGCTGCAGCTGATGCATTTGAGAGTTTGTCGGCTGTTCCTCAGGGTGAGTAATTCGCGTTCTTGAACTAAACCGACAGAATCGACACGCTGACTTGCCATAGGATGGAGATATTCTCGCACACCGCGTGCTGATCAGCCCCTGAAGCTACAGATTGCTCTGGCACAGGGGGATGCTGCCGGATTCGAAAAGGCTGTCATGGACATGTCAACTCCCGATCACCCCAGTTACGGGAACCACTTCAACACCCACGAGGAAATGAAGCGGATGCTGCAGCCCAGCGCAGAGGCCGCTGGCTCGATCCGTGACTGGCTCGAAGGTGCCGGTATTACCAAGATCGAGCAGGATGCCGACTGGGTGACCTTCTACACTACCGTGCAGACGGCAAATGAGCTGCTAGCAGCCAACTTCCAGTTCTACGCCAACAGTGCCAAGCAAATCGAGCGTCTTCGAACACTCGAGTACTCCGTCCCGGAGGCTCTGGTGTCACACATCAACATGATTCAGCCAACCACCCGTTTTGGCCAGCTGCGCGCCCAACGGGCCATTTTGCACACCGAGGTCAAGGAAAACGACGAGGCTTTCCGCTTGAACGCCATGTCCGCTCAGCCGGACTGCAACAGCGTCATCACTCCCCAGTGTCTCAAGGATCTGTACAATGTCGGTGACTACGAGGCTTCCGCCACCAATGGGAACAAGGTCGGGTTTGCCAGCTACCTAGAGGAGTATGCACGATACTCCGATCTGGAACTCTTTGAGAAGAATGTCGCGCCCTTTGCCAAGGGCCAGAACTTCTCCGTCGTTCAGTATAACGGCGGTGGTAATGATCAAAAATCCAGCGGTAGCAGCAGCGAGGCGAACCTCGACCTGCAGTACATTGTTGGAGTCAGCTCTCCTGTTCCCGTTACAGAGTTCAGCACTGGCGGCCGCGGTGAACTTGTTCCAGATCTCGACCAGCCTGATCCTAATGATAACAACAACGAGCCGTACCTTGAATTCCTCCAGAACGTGCTCAAGATGGACAAGAAGGACCTTCCCAATGTGATTTCCACCTCTTACGGCGAGGACGAGCAGGTATGATACTCACCCCCTTTTTTTCCGCCGTGATTTTCGTCAGTCTCTAATATCAATCTCCAGAGCGTTCCCGAGAAGTACGCCCGCAGCGTTTGCAACTTGTACTCACAGCTCGGCAGCCGTGGTGTGTCCGTCATCTTCTCATCTGGCGACTCCGGTGTTGGCGCCGCATGTCAGACGAACGATGGCAAGAACGCAACCCGCTTCCCACCCCAGTTCCCCGCAGCCTGCCCGTGGGTGACATCAGTCGGCGCGACAACCCACACCGCGCCCGAGAGGGCCGTGTACTTCTCGTCCGGCGGCTTCTCCGATCTCTGGGATCGCCCGAAATGGCAAGAGGACGCTGTGAGTGAGTACCTCGAGACCCTGGGCGATCGCTGGTCTGGCCTTTTCAACCCCAACGGCCGTGCCTTCCCCGACGTCGCAGCCCAAGGTCAGAACTTCGCCATCTACGATAAGGGCTCGTTGTCCAGTGTCGACGGCACATCCTGCTCGGCCCCTGCCTTCGCCGGAGTCATCGCTCTCCTCAACGACGCCCGCCAGAAGGCCAACAAGGCACCTCTGGGCTTCCTCAATCCCTGGCTGTACTCGACAGGCCGCGCCGGCCTTAACGACATTGTTAACGGTGGCAGCACGGGCTGCGATGGCAATGGCCGCTTCAGCGGCCCCGAAAACGGTGGTCCTACGGTTCCAGGTGCCAGCTGGAACGCTACCAAGGGCTGGGACCCTGTCTCCGGCCTTGGATCGCCCAACTTTGGTGCCCTGCGCAAGCTTGCGACCGCTGAGTAAGTTGCAGGTCTTGCTTACTGATATGATGCACAGTCTGTTTCAGATATGATTGATTCCGACCAGTTGGAAACTTCTGGTACGCATACATGCTGGTCACATACATGTAGATTCTTTCCTATATTTGCAAATATAATAATTTTGTGACGGGTTTGATTTGTTGGTGTTTGTGCAATATGTTCCCCTTTCTGTTATCATGACTTGCTGTTTATTAAGAATAAATTTGACCCATTTATGTCTATATGCGCACTTTCTCCGATTCGTGAACGAATACCTAGATAGCGTTGGCCCTGAAACGGGATCTTGGACATAGCAAAAAGGCTTAATGAAATACGGTATTTGCAGACCTGCTAGATGTGTTCCTTATTCCTTAAGCGCAGGCTCGGACTTCTCAATGTCCTCCTTACTCAAACACCACTTATCTTGCAATGCAGGATCAACACTCGAGGCATAGACATCCTTGGGCCACCATTCGCCCCAACTAGTCAAGAAGATCTGTTCAGGATCAGCGGGGAGATTGTCGGCCGTGACTGCGCGGAGGATGTTCTGGGCACCTATTGATCATTAGATATCGTAATTTATCAAAGAATTCAAATCCAAAGATCCTCACCCTCTGGCACAGTCTTGGCATCGGGCATGTCCATGGTCAACCCTAAGCCCGAATGCTGGGCAAGCTTGGTGTTGGGGATGAGCCCCGGTGAGACAGCCACGACTTTGCAATTTGGGAGGCTACGCCGCCAGTAGTGTGCACCCAGAAGCTGGGTAAATTTCGATGCACTGTACACTACTTTTGTATTCGCGCCGGAGTTTGCTTTTAGGTCGACATCAAGAGTCTCTGATATGAAGTCAGCGTTGTGAACAACTTCGCCTTTAGCGACACGACCGAAAAGATGGAACTAAACTTACTTGGGTCGGCTCCTCTCACATTACGAATTGCACCCGAAGATACAATGACAATACGTGATTGCGAGGCAGACAGGGTCTCGGCAAAATGATGGGTCAGATAATGCTGGGCTGAGTTAGTATTTATGAATTGTTAGCTCCAGCCTTATAGCCTCTTCTTTTTAGTAGCCGATGGATCAAATTTTGACATACCCAGATGATTTACCACGTACGATTCGCACCATTGCGAGCCATGAGGTCCTGGTCCATCGGCACTAGCGGCAAGGCCCGCAATGAGGAAAAGATAGTCCAACGGCCTTTGGCCCAATTCAGAGAGTGCCTGCTTAGCAAAGGACTTGACGCTCTTAAGATTCAAAAGATCCAGGGGCAAGACAGAGACGCTGTGTTTTGAAGTATCGAATTTCAGATCATCGTACGCAACACGCGTCTTTTCTGTATCACGAACGCCCAGAATGAAGCTGTACGGCTGTGTCTGTTGGAGTAACTGCTTGATTGCTTCAAATCCCTGATCAT